TGTTACACCTGATCTTGCGATCTTCATAAGAAAATTTCCTTATTTGGTTTGTATCACCGGCGCAAATAAGTGTACGCGAATACTGTTGTATCCCCATCATTTAATGACGGGTTTAACATACTAATTATTATTTTAATTATGTAATTCTGTGATTGATGTTAAAAGACCAATAAAAACTAGCAGATCTATAATTAACCAATCGGAAGCATTAAGTATTACCAATCACCATTACAAAGATAAACAACGTGATCTTGACGTGACAATAACGTGATCTTGACGTGACAATAACATGACATTGACGTGACATTGACGTGACATTGACGTGTTATGTTGTCTTACCGTTACTACCGTTACCTAACCGTTACCTAACGTTACCATTGATTCCATTACTGTATGCTAATCTGACAACCAGCATCACTGAATTCGTTCCGGACAATGGGATCTTCAATAAGGATTATTTCCGCGAAGATCCGAATCATGCACGTTACACGTGAAACGCAAACCTGACGCTAATCTATAAAAACCACCACTGTCCGCCCTTTTCCGCCCTTCCCCAATCTTCCCAATCTTTCCTAAAATCACTCATCCAATTTTAGTATTGCCCAATAGTCCACACTCTCCGGTATGACTTTTTAATTATTTAATTAAAACTAGTTATTTTAAAAGACTAAGCTAAGCTTTTAAGTCTATATTCTTTTTTTGCATATATCCAATTTTATTATATTCGTTAATTCGTTCGTTGTACTGTTTGTAATTGTCACAAATTTTATTTTTAAAAAAATATTAATATTTATAGTAATCATTATCATAATTTAAAAGCACCATCATTTTACAATAAATTTATTGTAAAACAACTAGATTGGTTACATTACTTTTAAATATCTAGTAGGTTACATTACTTCTAAATTTTTTTTTTTAATAAAGTTTCTTAATTCATATTTCATTGTATTTACTTCATTTGCCAAGTTTTATTTCATACATTTTTCATACATGGTATATTTTATTGTTTCTCCTTTTAATGGTGTTTCCTTGCACTGCGTTAAACTTAGTATTACTAGTACGTATTACTAGTACGTATTACTAGTACGAATTACTATGTTTCATCAAATATGTTATTACTAAAGTCGGGAAATCTATTTCTTCCGGAAATATCAATGAAAAAATGTTGCACAAAAATCCATTAATTGACATTGAAAATCGTAATTAATTATAATTGATTTTCAAGAGTCGATCAAATGCAGATATAAAGTTTGCTAAACCTAATATCGTTACTTAACTGGACTTTATTTAATTCTCTAGTGTATTACAAAAATAATTGTATTGTTACATGACTCCATATAAAAGTTGTTTAAATGTGCATTTGACGAAGTAAGGCGCATGTAAGAACCCTTTTTTGAGTCTCATTCGGAATACAAATTTCTATTCCGTAATTTGATTCATGTCTGCCTTTCAAATCATATTGTGCATAGTGGCAATAATGGCGTAATACACTAAACCAATCTTTCAGGTAAGATGTTCTCTTTTTTGTAATCTTGTTATTAGTAATCTTAATAAATATATATATATTAATAATTGATTATCTTTTGTTATCCTTGAATTATTATTGATCACATTACACTAGGATTACATAGATTACAAAGATTACTTATTAATATAAATGTCAGTGGCACGTGATAAATAGGATAGCTTCCATGTTTAGATCTTTCCTAAATTCTGCAAGCGAATGTGATTAAAGGTTCATTTAAATTGTTTTGATCTTGTCTCACCACCTTTTGAATAAACAATCTAAATTAGTAAAACGCTAACAAAATATACTGATGGTGAAATTCCATATTAAGCAATTGTCACAATTTAACCATTTACTAATTAGTTCATTTTGGTCTGTTTTATTTCCCTTAATATCTATAATATCTGTAATATCTGTAATATTAAGTTTATTGAGATTATTGAGGCTTGGCGATTTATTCTATCTTGTTATAAAGTTCCAGGCTGGGTTTTCTTAAACTCCTATTTATACAAATTTCCATAAATTTCCATAAATTTCTATAAATTTATATAATTTGTATAATTCATATAATTTATATATATATATATATTTATATTAATTTATGGAGATTGCCGTTCTCCGCTTACACACTTACGTACTTACGTACGTACTTACTTACACACTTACGTACTTACGTACGTACTTACTTACGTACGTACTTACGTACTAATGCCCTTATGTACTTTTATCAGTTATCACTTATTGTATATATATACATATCAATATTTAGATATGTCAATAAGTCCAAAGACTTATTACCTACGTTTGTTATATTGTTATGTACTATGATTGTTATTACGTATTGGTATGTATTGGTATGATTGTGGGCTGTGCCGCATCTACGGATGTACGTAATAGCATAAAGTCCGAGAAAATACACATTTCAAAAAAAGTTTATCGGAGAATAAAAAATCATAACGCATGTAGGATTCATTAATATTAATAAGTTTATGTTACGTTAGTTGCACAAATAGAATTTTCCATTTATATCACAAGACCAATAGCAGGAAAAATCAAAAAAAATTTTTTTAAGTATCCGATTTTGTAAGTATGATTTCCTATATAATTCAATACAAGGTTTTGTATGTTGTTTCACTAATTACGTATTTGGGAGTGTTGCGTATTACTTAACTTTTAAAAGGAGCCTAAATCAATCTGTGCATCTTTGACGGACGCCAAAGTATCCGCTCCTCTCCTTTCTTTATCTCTTTTTTTAAAAAAAAAAAAACCAAAAAAAATTTTTTGAGGTATAAATAGGATTGTAAGTCTTAAATTTTTAAACCTTTTTTTTTGAAAAAAATATCATGTCTCAACGTCGAAAAGGATATCATCCAGGAGGGAAAAGACAGAAACAACCAAAACCATGTCTTTTCATCGTACTCCCTCCTGAAATGTTTATCAATGTTTGTCAATACCTACCTCCGAAAGACTTATTATCACTAGCTAGGGTTTGTAAAAGGTTTAATGGTTATTTGAGTGCAGAGACTTCTACAACAACTCAGGAAATTTGGCGTGCATCGAGAACTGCTTATTTACCTCATTTACAAATGTCTCCACCTGAAGGGATGACTGAAAGACAATATGTTAAATTGGTTTTAGAACGTGGTTGTCAATTTTGTGATAGATCAAAAATTCGTAAAGTTTATTGGGAGTTTTTTGTCCGTTCTTGTGAGGATTGCCTGAGAGAAAGAATATCAAGGTAAAAAAAAAAATGTATTATTTTGTTTTTCTCGCTTAAAGAATGTTTTTAACAAAAAAACGTATGTATACAACATATATACAACATATACAACATATACAACATATACAATATATACAATATATATACAATATATACATATGTGTATATTTATTAGGAAAGAAGATCTTCTTCCTGAATACATGGATGATGGTCGTCTTTCTGATGATGTTATTGCCGGTTTAACTTACATACCATCTTGGGTTAGACGTTCTTATACTTATATGAGGAATTCAAGAATGTGTCCGTCAAGTCTTTATTGGACTGATCATGTTCTTAAAACGGTTCAGGAATATCAAAGTCTTCCACAACATATCAGAAATGATTGGATAAAACAAAAAAGAGAAGAAGGTTTGGCAAAGATGAAAGAAGTCAATCAACGTAGATTGGATTATGATCGGGGTATAAGAGAATTGGTTCATCAAAATTCGTTAAAAAAGAATGAACGAACTCGTTTAATTAAATCAAAAATACAAGCCATGAAGTCTGAAAAAAATGCAAACAATTGTTTAAAGTATGATAATTTCATACTTGAACAATGTCCAACATATAACAATCATATGTTTATGCAAATACGTCAATCTCCACAACCTTTTACTGAACGTTCTTGGGTACTTTTGAAAAAGAAATTATTAAAAGAATATGAGGAACGGCGTATTTCAAAGAGGCAAGAACGTCAAAATAAAGAAAAAGCGTGGTGTAGGGATGTGGTTTTCCAAATGAGACAATATGATATTTATCAACTTGCAAAAAATTGGTTGCCGGACTCCAGTTTGGAAAATACCGTTGATATTCTTCCTGCAGTAGATTCCTCAGTGAATTCTACTAGTTCAAATATGGATATAGATGTTCAAGTTTCATCCACAGTTACTTCTGAAAATTCGGCCACTCTTATATCAAATATTCTTAATTCCGATTTATCACAATATACTTTGGATTCTACAAATAAATCAGAAACGGAAACGATAACAGATGTTAATACCATGAACATTTCGAACACAGATACTGATATTTTATCCATGAGTATTATGAACCTCATTAATACTGATATAGATAGTACTAACGATGTTAACATTAATGATGTTAACACTAATGACGTTGACACTAATGACGTTGACATTAATGACGTTAGCACTAACGTAGTTAACACTGATATGGTTGACGTTAATGTCGTTGATCTTACCGTCGAAACCGAGACAAATGTAGAGAAAGAAGTTATTGATCTTACTGATGAATCAGAAACGAATATTACTGTAGCAGAAAAATCTGAAACATCACAAGATTTTATGTCAACAGAAGACGATATTATTGACATAACAAATGAGAAAAATATTATTGATCTTACCAATGAATCCGAAACATCTTCATATGGTGATGTTAAACCTACATATTTTGGAGTAAATTCTGACATTAATTCCACTAATTCCGCCAATTCCGCCAATTCCTCCTCCTCCAATTCCTCCAATTCCACTAATTCAATATCATCATCATATAATCCTTCATTAATAACTTTACCACCGATTTCATTACTTTCTGCATCACCAATTCAACCGTTAGATATTAGTTATATTACACTTCCAAATTTATATAGTCAGCCGCTAAATGATTATGGATTGCCATTTAGCTTTCCATCAAATGACACTACTTTCCAATTTGATTGGAATGATTGGATTAATATGGAGGATCAATTTTCTTCATACATGGATAATTCATATGATAATATGCAAAGTCTTTTAATAGACAAATATCTTCCATGGTGTCCATCTTTTCGAAATCCACCATTTCACGATAATAATCCTTACAATCTATGGGATGATGACTTTTTAATGAATACTCTTATGCCAAAAATCTGGAATGAAGCAAAGGAATTACATAAAAAATCTAATGATGTTAATCTAACAACTGTACAAGGAGCTGTTTTGAGTGGGTATAGAGAAAACAATATATTTAAATGTAAGTTTTGTAAGTTAATGGGTGAAAATTATGGTGAAGCTTCTTATTTAGATGTTAGAACCCATTTACATTTAGGACATGGGGTTTATCATATAGATGACGAAGAGATGATTGAAGTATGTTTAAATTATAATAAGGGCATCTGTCCCGATATATACAATGATACTAAAAGTTATTTGTTTTCTATTGGATATAACTTCAAACGATTAAATGATTTGGTTAAATTCTGAACATTATCTGTATTTATTTCTTTTTTTTTCCCGAGACTTTGGTGTATATACATATTTGTTTATACGTTAGAAATTAACATATATTTTTAGTACATATTTTTTTTTGGTGAAATAAATGTATTATTTTTTTTTTTTTTATAAAATTAATAGATAAGTGTTGTTAAGAAAGAATTTTTTAAACGGTATAGCCAAGTATCTATTTGATATATATATCGTATATACATAGTCAAACCCCTTTACAGTCACGCCCTTGGTTCCAAGAAATTCTGTGCTTATAAGGAATTTTGTCTGTATAGAGGTCAAATTTCTTATGTTTTATATACGTTTGTTTTTTATATACGTTTGTTTTAAAAATTGGTGTGCTTATAAGAAGGGTGTGACTATATGGAGAGTGACTGTATGGAGTGCAGACTGTAATATATATATATATATATATGTACATGTATATGTATATGTGTATGTATATATATATATATAATCTATAATATATAATATATAATATAATATAATATTAATATATAATATTAATATATAATATTAATATAATATATTGATATATCGTATTTACCCTTATTACAAATAAACTTTTGATATTGCCATTATGAAACTTTAAAGTTGTATAAATAATGGTTTGTAATCATGAAATAAAAATTAAAGTATTATAATTATAAATTTAATGATAAATACATACTATAATTTTTTTAATTATATATAATTATGTATGTATTACGAATCACTTGTTATACCGTATTTGTAAACAATTGGGCAAAAATGTCAAAATGCACTACAGATTTATTACGTCATATATCATATGATAGTATTCTTACAAGTAGAGAGAATTTATTTTACATTATTATTATTATTATTATTACTTACAATCTCATCATCATTGCTATTTGCTCTCTTTTGAAAAATATAATGACGAATATATTAATTTAGAGATGACATTGGAATATTAATGTAGAGATGTAGAGATGACATTAGAATATTAATGTAGAGATGACATTAGAATATTAATTTAAAGATGACATTGGAATATTATTATCAAGTAACTATATAAACTCTAAGATGTCGTTATTTAAAAAAAGTCAGCATACATTATATATATTTTAATATATAAATATAAGCGAACCAAAAATTCCTATATTTCGATTTTTTTATCGCCGTGAACATAATTCAACATAGTTCCTTAAGATTTTCTCTACAATACCATGCCTAAAAAAATGACTAAAATCAAAAATTCGAAAAAGAGGCAAAGTTCTTCAAAGTATATTAATAATTTATTTCTTTGCGAGAGATTATGAGAGATGATTACAAGTTTAACTTGCTTATGATCTATGATATTTTAGAGTGTCAAGTCCCGTGGAAGAACAAAAAAGTGTCATGGTAGTTAGTAAAGTTCTAGACTACCGTTATGTAAACGGGAATGATATGTATTTACAACAATATCAAGGTACCTAAATACATATTATTACTAATTAAATATTAATTCATCATTTTTATCATTTTTATTAATTGTTTTTTTTTTTTAGTGGATGAACAAATTAAAATAAATTGGGCCAACTATGAAACAATGGCTGGATGTGATGATTTAATTCGTGACTACTGGTTACGTGAAAGAAGTATTAATCCATTGGCTTCACCATTGGGTTCCTCAAGAATTTTGGTAGGTTCTGGATGGTTCCGATTTCGATCTGAAAGTGAACAAACAAATAGTATGGATCTTATGCCTGATATCACTCAAAGTAATGTAACATTTGCAAACATGATGAGAAATGCTGAAAATGTTATATCAGATGGTATGTTTTTTTTTTATCATTATAAGTTACATAATAGTATCAAATGTAAATTTTAACATTTTACAAATCTGCAAAGAATCAAATAAGATGAATATTGACAATGTAGAGACAACTTTACCTAATGTGAAAACAAATAAACGGAAGAAATCTGTCGATTTTATGACGAGAACGGAAGTTATTCAAAATAATAATATGGAGATATCTGAAAATGATTTGAATGAAGTAGGCTTGAAACCAAATAAGATTAACAAATCGGAGAATCCCTCAAAACATATTAATAACGATAGTGAGTCTAATGAAGCTGGTATAAGATCAAATAAGCGAAATAAATCCATGAATTTCGAATTAGAAACAAACAATATTCCAAGCTTCAATAATTCGGAGTCTACTGATAAAGTCAATAATTTGAATAAAGTCAATAATTTGGATAAAGTCAATAATTCGAATAAAGTCAATAATCCGGATAAAGTCAATAATTCGGATAAAGTCAATCATCTGGATAAAGTCAGTCATTTGGATAAAGTCAATAATTTGGATAAAGTCAATAATTTGGATAAAGTCAATCATTTGGATAAAGTCAATCATTTGGATAAAGTCAATAATTTGGATAAAGTCAATCATTTTGATAAAGTCAATCATTTTGATAAAGTTAATAATTTGGATAAAGTTAATAATTTGGATAAAGTCAATAATTCGGCGTCTACCGATAATGATGTAAGAATTTAATTAATATGTTGATTATATTATAATTATTAATATTATTATAATTATATTATTATAATGTCGATTTTATTTAATATTTAATTTCAGAATTTAAGTGAAAAGACACGAGGAAGAACTATTAGTATCGACATATCAGTAAAGGATCGCATTAGCAGCTCTACTCCGAGATCATTCACCATGTGAGTGACTGATTGCTGAATATTTAATACAAGATAATAGAATAAATTACTATTACACCACTTTTATTGTGCATTGTCAATAGAACACGTGCTCAAGTTTACAAGGAACAGGAAGTGGTGCAATCCGCATCATCAAAAAAAACTACAGAAGCTCAATCAACGAATATTGGTGGTAAGTTATAAACCTTCATTTTGATAGCTACATACCATAAACGTATCTAAAAAAAATTGCAACTTTTTTTTTTATTTTTACACGTACCTAAAAATTGCAACTTTTCTATTTTTACAGTAACCAAAAATAATGGATCCATTGACGCGTCGCATCAAACGAATATGTAAAATAATTCATTCTGACTTTGTAAAAAAAGAATGAGATGATAATGCTAACTTATTCTTTTTTAGGGAATGGAAAGGAAGTCTTATCAAAGGTAGTCTTGTACAATTTATCGCTACAGTAATTCTAAAACCATTGCCGGATCATTGTCCAGATTCCTCGCTCTTGTAAGTTCATTCATTCACTGTTTATTATAAATTTTTATATTTCATATTTAATCATATTAATTATCTTTTTTTAATTTTAATCATATCAACCATTTTACTTTTTAATCATAGCAATGAAATATCGAATAGACAAAACTTACGAATAGAACATTGTATTCGGCTATCTGATGCGATGAAAATTGTTTCCCCAAACGCTCTTGGGTTTATAGCCGAGCCTGCCAACATACTCAAATCTAAGTATAATATAAGAAGAGAATACATGTTTATGAGAGAGAACAATATTGTGAGATTTAATCATATACATTTTACATAGTTTTTAATCCAACTTTTTTAAATATTCTAATTTTATAATCTATAATCTATTTAGGTTGGCGTTATTTGGCTTAACAAAGATAAACAGCGTTGTCTTTTAGCTTTTGCGATTTCCAACGACATTTGTCGTTTCCTTCAACTCAGGGAAAAACCAAATGTTCCATTAATCCTTCTTGAAAAGACATTACTTTCCCAACCAACATCGTCTGAAAACTCTAAATATCAAACAATACTTCCACGACAAATATTGGATGATAATATTGATTTACAAATGTGTGAAATTTATCTCAATTTTATGGAATACTTTAAGCTTTTAGAAATTTGTAAAAATACAGGTGTCAAAATTTTGCTTTTTGCCCCAGATCCAAAGCAAGTAAGAGATGAAGGTGGTCAGGTAACTATAAAAGAAAATTTAGAAGTAATGGAGATGAAACATGTTTTGAATTGTTTGGGTGCTACCTGTGTAAATAAATACAGTGATGATATTCAGTACGTTCTGGTATGTACTAATTATAATCACCTTAGATTTCTGCTTTCATTTATCCATTATCTTAAATTAGTCAAATGGATTTTTTTTAGATCCATTATCTTTTTGAGAAGCAAATATACTGGATTCCCGATTTAATAAAACTCAAACGACTTCCAAATTGTAAGTTTTTTGGGTTTGGAACAAATCCACGTAATATTAAGTCTTGGAATTTAGAAGAGTTTTTTAAACAAGGTTTAATATCTTTATTTATTTTTTCTTTTTGTATTATCTATTATTATTATTTTTACATATCATTAATATTTCATTCGCAAAATTTTAGGTGGTTTTGTAACAGCCACAGCACCACTTTTCGTCAGGGGTGAAAATGTTATATTTCGCATTCTCACAGTTATGAACCACGTAAGAATTTGAGATAATATTTTTTCTGAGATTTGAAATTGTTTAAATGATGCATACTCGTTTATATATGTCATATGTAGCAAAAGCAACTTTATAAGGACGCATCTTGGGAATTTTTATTAAGCAAGAATGTCCTTGATGCATTGGACCGATGTTGTAGATTGAGAAGTGTCAATAGGTAAAACTTTGCGTACAATATTGATCGTTATTTATTCATTAAAAAATCAGTACCCACTTATCTCTCATTTTCTCATTTTGAATATAATTAGCCATAATGCGCGTCTTGCATACTATTCACTAATTGCGAAAATTAACATGAAAAAGATTCGATATTTTCATCCTGATGAAATGTTTAAATCCAACATTGTAAGATGTTTACTATTCTTAACTCATTTATTGGTTGCTTATATATATTTTTTAAAAAAACGTTACACGTATTTCCTTACTTAGTCGACAGATTCACCTCCATCGTTCCTCTTAAGCTTGCATCGAACTATGATGAGGATTCATTCACAACAATGGAAAAAATATCGACATTTCATTGTACTTTATGACGAAAGTGAGGATCTAAATCAAGATCTTCCAATTGAAGGAGTATACATTTTTTTCACTAATTTACTATCGAATTTGTATATGATAATTAATACCTTTAGTAATTTCAATTTTTTCTCACGCCATATATATATATATTAATTCATTAGGTTGAACTAATGACACTCAGAGAATTTGAAAAAGATTTTGGTCTCTAAAATAATAGACAATAAACAAGGTAGAGTTCATTATTTGTATAAATTTATCGATTATTCTATAACATTATTTACCTGTATTAAAATTTTCATTGGTATTTCATATCTACTTGTATTATGTATATGGTAATAGACTTTTTAACTCTTAGGACTATGCACTCTTACTTCCTATAACTACTTAGTGGACAATAGCATGAATTGTTTTTTTTTTAAATCAAAATCGTATTGCAATATATAGAGATGATAATTTATAACGTATATACATACGCTTAATACAGATAATAAATACTAGGTTCATGTGTTAGTTGTTGCATTATTTACTAACCAGAAAAAAATCACTTAAAACGAGTTGTGAGACATTATTAAAAATAAAACCGAATTACTAAATTTTATGTAGATACTCAGATTATTAAATGTTCCTTGTATATATCTATTAACTCGCAAAAACTTGAAAATATAACTTATGTACTGTAGATTTTTAAATATTGTTTCTGCTTGACACTAAATAAGATGTAATATCAATTAAGATTGTACGACTTAAACATATGGTAATACTATACAAAGATCAGATTTTTATGAACTTGAGGTAAACGAAATTGCTCGTGAAAAGCAAAGAAGCACTAGCAATTTTTAAATAAAGAAAAAAAATTAGTAATATATCAAATAATATAGTTCATCGATACATCACTTCTATGACAAAATGTGTGTAATATTCTATTTATTTTCATTATTCGAAGCCATTTTAATATTTATCGGACTATTATTAAGAAATCTTCGAAATTTGAAAAAACAGCTAATATTAGATATTCTTTTATAAATGTATATAATAAAATCGGATCTAATATCCAATTGCAAGTTATTATTTTATTAATAAAATATATCTGCCATAAAAATTGGCTTAAAGTTGTTAATTTTTATTGACATCCATAATAAAATTCGAGAAAAACTTTTGGTTAGAATAATTCGAAAGAGATACCTTGCAAATAAGTAATAGCCATCTACCAGAGATGGTAAAATTAGAGGTCATTTGCCTTTTTTTCAAGTGACCTAGGTCATTTCGGACTAAATTCATAATAAAATTTGGGTCATTTGAGGTCATTTGAGGTCATTTGAAGGTCATTCCATCCCTGATCTATACCTAGAGAATTACTTAACGTTAACTATTTAGCCATGAGACAAGCCACATGACTCGAACTTTTAGTAAGTTTTTTTTTTTAATACGTACAGTTCGTCATAACCGTGACACAAAATTATCCCATGGTTGGTGTGGGAAAAAAGTACAAATAACAAGTTTAGGGACTGTAGATGATACGCGTCACTGATTTCGCAGATAAAGGATTCCTATTCATCTAATCTTATGTTTGATTGGTTTGAAACACGGTTTTTTTTATCTTAATTATCAATGTACACACGTACATGTCCAAATTCTTATAAAATCGCGAAGTTGGCTACAGAATTGAACGTGTCATGCAGATCTCAAAACAATAGACGTGTCAGCAAAAGATATATGAGAGGGATTAGAAACCTTATTACTATGATATTTAAGAAACAAGAAGGCAAAGACAGTATATAAGCACGAACAACATTCAAAAAAATAGCTCTTATAATATTCGAAAGCCTAGAAGATTTGAAATATAACAACTGAATATTGACTCCTCAATCTTCTATATCAAAGAAAAATATGAAATACCTAATCTTCAAAAATCAAAATTCTACCAAAATTCTTGATGAACTAGCCTCCCAAGCAGAGGATTCTGTCTACATAAATAACTCTATTAAGGTTAATCCCAAACTTCTCGACCAAATGAAGCAACTTACTTCACAATTGACTCGAGTTGAAAATCGGTTAAAAGAAATGGAAGAGAACTAATAGAAAAATTTGATATGCTATGTATAATTATTAGATAATTACTTTGTGAAAACAAACCGAAATGGCAGTTACGATACTTGGTATATCGTAGATGGTCAGATGCCAAAAGAATGTGAGGCTAAAACAATTCTTGTTTGTTCACCTAGAAAAGGCAACTATCGAGAATTTGATAAATATACTACTTTTACCAATACTTATTATCTTATACTTTCTGCTTATATTTCTTTATCTTACATTTTTTATATTTCACATTTTTTATCTTTAACATTATCACTTTGACTTTTTTATATCATTTATCTTCGCTAGCTATTATGCTTTTCATATTGTTTATAAAAGATGTATATTAATTTTTTAAGCCCATAAATTAATTGATTTCTTATTAATAAACCCCGGCTATTGTTGATAGCAGCTCTTAGGTGAATACGCGTGGTTGCTAAGAATGTTAGGATATTCTTTTTTGAATATTTTTCCACTAACAATCGACATACTATTATCATATTATATACTGTATTATATAATCGTATTATATTTTTTATTTAATTATTTTTTTTTGTTTATGATTTTTATAATGTATATACTTTGAATAATAATAAAAGTTATTTTTTGTTAAATAAAAGTAAATAAATATATTGTAATTGTAACCAATTAACAAATAACGATAAAACTTTATAATAAAAGTTATATAATACACTTAACTAGATTTCTAGATTTCGTTATCGACTAAATTACCCAAGGTATAGAATAAATTGTGGTTTACTTCGTATTTATACTTCCTTAGTGTATTAGAAAAATCTTTAAAATTACAGTATTGGTATTAGATTATTAATTTTCAAAAATTTTTAAATTCGAATACTTAAGGCCATATAAACTTATATAAATGGTTCTCATAGCCCGGCCGGGTCAGCAGAGCGGGAATCAAAATTTTTATTTTTTTTAATATAACAAATAGAAATCCTCTACTCATATCATGTGACAGAAGCAAAGTTGAATTATAACAGTTCTAATTTTATTTTAATCTTTTTTTTTTACATTGATTTATCGTAATGTGAGTACCGTCTAATTGAAAGTATATCGTCTACAATAAATGATAATGAACCTTATTTGTTATCACTCATATGATTTACTTTCAAAAAGGACACATTTATATATAGTCGTCGTCACACTTCATTCTCCTAGTATAACCACTCAAATCATCAATAAAACACAATAAAACTATATAGCTCATTATAATTATTAGTTAAATAAATACAATTAAAAACTGATATATAGTGTGGAGATCTTTGTATTACAAAGAATCCAAAAATATAATACGACAGGGTGAAACCCGCGCTGTGAATTAGTAAAATCCGCTACGTAGATCACATGAGGGCTTTTGCATAATAAAAAACATAGCTAAGCGCGGATTTCACCCTAACGTGATCTACGTAGCGGATTTCACCCAGTCCTAATGAAATTATGAAATCATCAAGTTTATTGTGTTCGAACTTATTTGGAAACTTTGTTTTATTATCGGGTAATCTTTTGATATACAAGTCATCCAAAAATTTTTTATGCCAATTGATTTCCGTGCCGAAATTTATCCAAATCTTGCAAAATCTTATCGAGTTTCGGGGCAGTTTGGATCCTTTCTACGTATTACAAATGAATATTTTCTTAATAAGATTTATTGTACTGCAAAACTTGGATCTCTTGCAGTATGGGTGACACCTTCTGTATTCTAAATTAATTGATTAATAATACATTTTAGAAAATTTATTAGTTTACATACTCGGGGTATAATTTTGTGTAACATGCAATTAAAACAATTTTTACAAAAACCTCGCTTATGGTTAGGGTAAGGGTGGGTTTGGATTGGGCAAGGTATAGCTTATACCAAAATTTCAGAAGGAACTTTTTTTGTTAGAAACCAAATGGTGGTTTCATAATCAGAATTTTGAGATATCTATATTGCCGTGTACAAATAGAAATTCTCTACATTTTATTAGTGATGTCACCTATACTATCTATACTGCAAAAAGATCCTAAAATTTTTCTTCGGAAGGTGCGTCTAATAAATTTGATCAATTTTAGTAATACCTGAGCTGTAGTTTGAGAGACGTAGTCTTAAAAACTTGTATTTCACAAAAATTGTCACATAAATTTTTAATTTATCGCTCATGTGCGTTATTTCGAAATATAGGTTAAATAAACACCCCTTAATTATAATAAGTATAGTAAGAAATGAAAAGTGCTCCTGAACTGAATTTTGTACTAAGTAAACATGCTTTTATTGTATTAGAATTATCTCATTCTGAAGAACAACTTTGGTTAGTGTGCAAAAGCAGGTTTACTTAGTACCAAATCCAGTTCTGGTATATTTTGTATTTTTTATTTTTTTTTTATAGAGTTGCGCGTTAATTTGGGACGCACATGGGCGTTGATTCGAAATTACATATGTTATTTTTGAAGGTCCTGATTTTCAAAATAATGCCCACGGGCGTTATTCCGAGTTTATGCGGTAATATAATAAATACATTACAACCAGGCGGGTCTTGGGAGCATTACTTGCATTCAAT